CCAGAGAGTTCTAAATTGTCGTAAAATTGTCCTGACCCTTTCGATTCTCATATCAGAGCCTTCGATAATTACACATCAATCGAAATATGAGAGCTCGACGCCATTTTGGTTCTGGTCTGGATTGAGTTAAAAAATGTTAAAAAATCCAAAATTTCAATGTGTCAGGAGAATTTTTAGATGATCAGGAGTGATGTGTCAAAGTTTCGGACAGTTTGGTCTAATACCCTTAAAGAAAAGTGTTGTATTCGAATCGCCTGGTTTGAAGGGGGTTTCACTTCACCTTAAGGGTGTTTGATCGCCCTGAGATTCTCATCGGACGGTCTTGGCTGCAATTTTGGGCACGGTTGTTTCGGAAGTGAGGAAAAAGGAGCAAGACCGGCGGATCGTGTGACGAGGGTCAAAGCCCAGACGAATCTGTCATTTAATCTGTCTCAGGTACGAATTAGGGACGGTGCACTGGCCACGGGGTAATCTTATAAGGCGGAGCCGAAATTTTCGAAATTCGCAGCCGCGAGGCCGCCATGTTGGGAGCGACGCCGTTAACTTGGTCGATCGGTGCATGCCGGTGCATTAAGTCGGGTAAAATAAAACCCCCTAGCTGGGCAATATTAAACGTGACACCCGGTATACCCTCCCCGCGTTCTGGTCGGCCCTCCGAAAAATCCCCCGAGCCCCGGTTTAACCCTTTTCGCTCCCCCCGCCTCCTACAAACTTGCGTTTTCATTTCGACCCACCGAGGGAAAATGTGGATGGAATTCGTGCCCGCGACTGTTAAATTTTATCTCCGGTTTTTACTCGCGGTCGTCCCCCTCGTCCCGAGAGCGTCTAAAAGCGGGAGGAGAGAAACAAGGAGGGATTTTAATAATCGCGTTTCAGTCGTCCTTCTTTATTCTTTCGGCAGGTTAACCGGGGAAGCTCGACATTTTTGGTACGACGACGACGACGAGTGGTGAAAAATTGTCATTTTTTTTTATTTTTATTTTTTTCCCTTTTTTCTTCTAACGCATCGATGCGATAATTCAACCATCACGTGACTTAACGAGATGGCGAAAAACCTCGCGATGAATTGCCGCAGTTTTCTGAACACTCTGTTCTGAAACTGCAATTTTTTTGTTGTCTCTCACTAGGACCTTATAGTCACAACGGGGCTCCGCTAGATGAATAGAAATAAACATCGGTCGCAGTGAGAAAGAAAATATTTTGTTAATTTGAAGGAATGATTATTTCACTCAAGTATGCTCGAATGATTTGGATGCAATGCTTCTTCGAGATTATGACAATTTGTTTGAGCTTATTTCAGTCAAATGTATTACTCTTTGAATGAAGAAATATTGAAATATTTCTTTGGTTCAATGAATTGGTTTTTCTTTTTCTTTTTTTTTGTAAGGGCAGGCGAGTGAAAAATTGGCCCGAGGTGGAGCGAGTATCGCCGAATTAGCGGGCCCTGATCTATGTAGATAGTATCGCTCCTCCCGGTGGCTCCGCGTGTAACTCGCAACAAATTCCCGGCGACGAGCTAACAGGGCACACACCGAACTCTGGGACACACCCATGGCGATTAGCATACTCGGAACTGGATACCCGGCGCGTATAGGTTAGGTCGCGCGCGCGGGCGTGGAGGTTAGGCCGCGGCGTGCCGGCGAACGCGTGTAATCCGCGACGATTTCGCCGCGAGGAACCCGATGCGTTAAGAGGATATGAAAGGCGGTAAGAAATTTAATCGACGTCGATAAAGTGAAATTCATCTATACCCTTTTTGGTGATAATGCCGTTTTGAATACTCAAGTGGTGACATAAACTGGCGGGTCCCATTACCGACATTTATATTTACGTTGAAGTCTTTTACAGTCTACGTTGAGAATTATACGAACTGAAGGGTTCTATATGTCATTTCGGTAAGGTAATGATAAAAAGATCGATGTAAAACTGCCGAAATCCCACGAATTTCATGACTGTTTACATTTTGACGAAACTACGTCGCCATCTGTGACGTTTAGCTGCAACTCAATTTTTCATCCAAAAACACGTGTTAGCCGCAGGACAAGTCAGCATTCCCTTGCAATCGTTGGTGAAAGGATTTATCACATTTTCCCATCTGGCTCTGTAATGTTCCATTTCTACGGTATTCTAAATTCGTCGAGTTAGGTCCTGAAACTCTTCATTTTCGACTCTGAGCCTCCAAGAAGCGTAGAACATCGAAGACGCGCATGGACCACGGCATGTTAATTCTAGTCTATGATAAGTAAATAAATTTTGGATGAAAAATGAAATTTCCTGAGTTTCAGGACCTACATTAAGGCCTCCATATTCTCATGGTAAAATCTGAAACAAATCGGTACACCCAATTCGGTGAATACTTTCCCCAACGATTTGACTTTTCAGATATATATAGGCTGACTCTTTCATATCACCTTAAAAGTCCAAAAATGAGTGAAAAGGCAAAAGATGTGTCTTTTATCTACTTTTAATCCGCATAATTCTAGCTTCGAAGAAACAAATAAGCGAGAAGCCTCCCTCAGTTTATGTCGATGGATGCCAATACTGGATCGGATTTCATCGAAAAAAGTGGTCAAGTGCTAGAGAGTCATGCAAGAAATTAAATGCCACGTTGGTGGTTCTGGACTCTGCAAGAATTGTTAAACATATGATGAACTTGATGACAAATTACAGAAGAGGTACAAGAAAAATTGACATAGCGCGAAAGTAAATAACAGGCTGGAGAAAAATAAGAAAATCTTAAATTCGCTAAGATGTCAAAAATTAATTGATGATGTTATGAGTATTGTTTGAAAACGTGGGTTTGTGTAAATAACCTGAACCTGATGAAAAATATCCAGGTCGCAGGACCTACTTTAGGGCCTCCATATACACGTGGTAAAATTTCAAACGAATCGGTACACCCAATTCGGAGAATAGCTTCCTCAACTATTTGACTTCCGTGTCTTTGACTTGATATATATATCAAGATATATATATATATATATATATATCTTTCATTTCCTCTTAATTACCGCAGACACAATTCCCGGGGAGGGTTCCAAAGTCTCCTAACCAGCAGCAAAATCGTCATAAACGGTCAGAGGGAGGTTAGGTTTCGGCCTGACGTTAAAATATGCAAAATGTCGTTAACGATATGTAGCGAATGATCGTGTGTATGTGTATATACGTACACACATATCGTTTGGCGAGTTCGGCGGGTCGTGGAAAATGGTCGGTGGCTTGATTACCAGAGACTCCGTGATAGCGGTTCGTAATTGGTAATTAGCGGGGGCCGATGAGTTAGGGATACCCGCGGATTCGGGGCCGAGTCGATTCCAAGATGGCGGCAAGCGGTCGGTAATCGTAATTGATCGAGGAGGCAGAGTTACCCGAGGGACGTAACGCGACGTCATAACGGTCAGGCAGTTTCGGCTCTGAGGATGACACAGTGGTTCATGGGTTAGCTTGTCCTTTGATGCATGATACTGCAGAGTCAGTGCACGCTTCGGCAAACATGTCACGAGCAAGCCGAAACTGTTAGGATTCATAGTTGGGTCGACGACGGTGCTGCCACCGACGGCGCCGACGGACACCAGACCGGAGCCCGTAGACGTATCGCGTGTCGGCCGGAGACGGTCATCTCGATTCCCTACTTCGATCCTTGACAGGAAAGGAGGGGAAAGCTGCGAAAACGTACGAAATCTCGAGTCCCTGTACACCGTGGACGTAAGGTGTACAATTGCCTTCATTTTCTAGCGAAGGGAGGGAAAAGGGAATGGAACAAACAGGAGGGGCTGTTTTCCTCTCTCTCCTTGTGCTGAGAAAAAAAATCCATCGAACCGAAGAAATATCCCGTCAATTCCAAGAATGGCCTCAAATCATTGTCATAATTCCGAATAAACATTGCATTCAATTTATTCCAGTTTATTCGAGTTAAATCGATATTTCTTGAATTAAGAAAACATTTCTTTCGTCCAATGGCATTTTTTTTCTCAGTGAGCTATTACGTAAGCCGTCGTCGCGTTCCGTCGCGAATAACGTTTCACGTAAGAGGAGAGAAAAAGAGCGATGGAAACAGCCGCATAGTTCGTTATCTCTTGATTTTGATGTCTTCATGGGCAAATCAGTGGGAGGGGTGTACGTGATACTCATTCTATAATGTATAGTGGCAGACGCGAATGTCTCTCCTACTGATATGGCGTGGACAGGATATGATAAGGCATTCGTATCCGCTGATGTACCGTCGTACGTTTTACCTGCTTTCTCCCCTGAGCGTCTTGTGTTTATCTCTTGACAACCCTCGAGTGACGGAAACGGTCGACAGACGGCGCTCTTGAATTTGCGTTGAAAAAAAAAGAAAAAAAAAGAAAGAGGGGTTTACTTTTTTAATCGCTATCTCCGTTTACAACGGAACAGGGTCCGGGGGAGTAGACTCCGGTAACCCAGCGGTAAGATGAAGCGCGAATGCAAAATGAATGGCGGCATAAAATGGCGATGCGTCTTTATAAATCAAAAGTGCGCGTGTTTTGTTTCCGAGGGGGCGCCGGCGGAATATCCAATCGCGGGGATGGACCGCCTCGGGGTTTCCGCCACGACGCGCAAAGAGACGGGGAAAGCGGAGAACCTCATTGGTTATTAATATCTGCCGATACACACCTAAAGCCACCGCACGAGCCGTGGGGGCGCCTACGTGCCATTCGAATTTATCGCGGATATGTGATATCGCACGGTGGATTTCTGTTCGAGCCCGGCTTAAGTAATGCCCCGGAACGAGCGGGGGAAACGAATTTCGCCCACGTGACTCGGCCGCGATTCGTGTCCCTATGACGGCGGGAAATTCAAATTGCAGACCCGCTCGAATCTTGATATTCACGTTTTAATTAGAACGAATGAAGCTAGGTGAAAGTGAAAGGAGAAGGCGAAGATAGGAGAATGAAAGAAGCTCGTTAGAACCGAGTAGGGAGTGTTCGCGGGATTCGAGGAGCGAATCTCTGACTGGTTTCTTTTCCTTTTGATTTCAGAAAAACCTGGCTTCCAGTCGCCGTATGGCCCGCCAATGGACAACGGAATGGTAAGTCGTTAAAAATTGAAACCCGAGGAAATTTCTAGTCATAGCTCGGAGCTTCTAGAGGTAGTTTTTATTTACCGTACCTCATTTAGGGCGGAATGAATTAGAAAATAGAAAAGGGAGGAGTTACTCCTCTTTATTATTGGCCGTTAAAAGTTACGTCCCGTTGACTTCGCACTCGTAAGGTTAATTTCGCGGGTTTAAGGACTTAACGCGGGATCAATTTATTTTCCTCCTTAATACAAGTTTTATGTAACGGTGCCGCGATAAAAAACCGCACGGGAGGGGTCTGGGGAATTCGGAATTTCCCTTTTAAGTCTCCCGGGGAATTTGCGGCCAGCGGGATTATATAAGAAACGGGAGTATAATAATTATTGTAGTCGTAGGAGCAAATTTATCTGAGAAAAAGTTACTTCCTGGCTCCCTGGTTGGCTCCCTTCAACCTCCGCCCCTGCACCCTCTCCGGCTCGGCGCCTACAGCTTCCCCGAGCACCCTCCACGTAATCCGAAAACTTTGCCCAGCGCGCGATATTTTCGGCTGGCGGTTCTCAACCTCCCCTAACTTCGCTCCGCACCAGTGCTGACGAAGATGATTTAACGGTCAACTTCACCCTATCTGTTTTAACCAGACCAACGAATGTCTGCCACTGGTTATGTGGGAACAAAAACGGCGTTACCGGGTCATTCCAAAATTTGTGTAATTTCCGAAAACACGAGTCTCTATTACAATGGTTTCGACAGACCGGTTTAAAGATGGGAAAAAAGTTGTAAACAATGACTTTGCTCGGATGTTACCTCGAAGTTCACCTATGAAACTAAATAGACTTTTTGGAATGACTTGATAATTCTTAGGGTTTCCATAAACTCATACTTTTGAAGCATTTTCGAGAAATAACCTGACAATTCTGTTCAGCGTAATATTTTCTTCCTAGAGATTCTCAACGGGATGAGCTTCTCTATTTTACGTAAAATCTCACATTTCTGAGGGGGTTTTATCGAGTACTGTCGAAAAATAACCTAAAAATTCAATCCTGTATAGAGTGTGTGTGTAAACGTTATCAGAGTAATGAATCAGAATAAATAATCGAAGGTTTTATGGGTTAAATTATACGATGTTGGGTACTCTTTTTTTTTTTTTTAAATTGTCTGCAGTTGTATCTTACGGCCTTCTTCTGGTTGAGCATCCCTGGCCGGCTAACTTTAGTATCACTTACGCCCTCCCTCATCCGTAGCGATGTATCTATACCTGCACGCGCGAGTGTGGGTGCGACACCTACGAACCACGCCGAATCTTCCGTGTACACGCACGGTAAGGTGCGTTCCGCGTGTGCGAAAATGTACGCGGTGAAGTGTGTATGTATAAAACAAAGCAACTGCACAGTGCAACGGCGCGGGGTGGCGGACGGGAGGGAGGAAGAGGGCTCTAACTGGTCCGGATGAAAAGTTACTCCATAATACGCATAAAGTCTCGCGCGCTCCCTACCTTACCCACCTCGGGGTGGAACCGAGTATCTCCCGCGAAATTGCTGGCTGATTCCTTTGTGCACTCCACACTTCTAAACAATTCCCGATTAACTCGTTTAACGAGACGATAATTTGTCACGTGTCTTTGCAAGGATGTATCGCAACTTTTTGGAGTGATTGAAGGATTCTTCGCGGAATTACTGGCCAATTCTTGTGCACCCCACACCTTAGAACAATTCCCGATTAATTCGTCTAACGAGACGGTAAATAGCGACAGGGAAATATGGCAATTTTTTGGAGTACTCGTCTTCGGTGCCACCCAGTGTGTCCCGGGCAGTAGCTCGAGCAAACTTGAATATGGATTTTTCAATGTTATCGGATGTTAATATCTAATCGGTCGTCGCGTTGTACCATGACTGATAAGCGCTATCGATTCGGCGATTCGTCGGGCGGCGCCCCCGGAACCCCTTTTTACCGAGTCGCGTACGTTCGCGGCCAACTTAAATGCAAATGTCCGCCCCTTAGACGGCCCCAAATTATTCCAATTAATCTCGCATTATGTCCTGAATCCCCCGCCACGGGGGCCCGAAGTCACGTGATTTATGGACGCCTCGTCTTTGGCCTCCCGTTTGAGGTTAAGTCGATGTGATCACTTACGCGAGCGATTCCCACCGCGGAATTTCTTAACCCCCTTCCTCCTCCCAGGGACATTTTTTATGACGCCTCGGTGATACTCTTCCATAATCGATTCGATTAATCACTCGGTCGCTCGCAACCCGGGGACAATTATTTACGCTCTTTTGTCCTTTCGCTTTGACGATCGCGAAGAAAATGAATTTCGGTTAACTAAACGTCGACGATTACCTACGAGGGCGAACGGATGGATTTATTAATTACACGCGTTAGGGGCATGCTAATTGTGTCACATTGCTCTGTAATATAATAATTAATTACCGGTGTCTGTTAATTGTAATTTCCTGTTTCAGACGTACGGCGGCGGTGCGTTCGGCCCGGCGGGGGGCGGTCCGGGGGGTGGTGGAGTCGAGGGGGCCACTTACCCCCCCGACTCACCCTACTTCTCCTTCGGATCCAGGGGGATCCCCCCCTCCGTGACTACCCCAACCCCCACCTCCAACCCTGCCACCCCTACCGGCAACGGCGCGAGGTTACCTAACCCCTCGGCCGGTAAGTCTGACGTCACTACGTGTCACTCCTGACAATGATAATTACTATCGATTGGCGATTAATTATCGTGTAAACCGAGTTACGCCGCAAATTGATCTATTCTTTTTCTCGGCAGGCTCGATCCTCTTGGGTTAGTTCGACGGTATCAATTAAAAGTTTGCAACACTTATCCTTAGATTATGTGAAACGTTCCCACGAGTACTTTGGAGATGATTAATTAGTTAACGAATTCTATCTTATTCCCCTTCCGCGCGGGTATTAATGAGATATTTTCATTTGGTTTCAGGAGCGGCAACGGTGAAGAGAAAGAAGGAGGTAAGTGTCGGACGTTCTCGTTTCTTTTGTCAAAAACTGGATGATAGGTGCGCGGTTAAGGGGTTACCCACCCAAAAATTACGGTTTTTCAAGAATTTTTTTTTTATAATTAAAACGTTTTTATCCAAATTAAAGTACGGTAAGGTATTATACTACTATTAAACAACAAAAAATGTTTGTTGTATTTTTTTTTTTACAAATTTGGCGGCTTGAAAGGCGATGTAAATTTCGTTAATTAATGTTGCATAAAAAACGCGGAAATCAATACATTGAAAAAACCATACGTATTCTCTAGATAAACATATCACGAATAAAATAAAAAAAGTCTCAAGACGATTGATTGAAAATTGGCGGAGCTAGAGTGCCCACCGATTTTTAAAATGCAGTTTTAAGAAAAACGCGTAAAAATTTTTTTGATTTTTTGAAAATTTCAAAGTGGTATAACCCCTTAAGTACCTTCGTATGTTTAACTTATTATTCGATTTAAAAACTGCGCTTCTCATGATTCCTCTTTACGAGGGAACGTGTTCTATTTTTACTGGTTTACCTTTAAACCGACCTTTCGTTTCCCTTACGTCTTCTTCTTTTTTCCAAAACAGAGCGTGGATGGAGCGGACGGCGAGGTCGTGACAACGCAACATTGGGTGAGTCGTGTTTTCCAATTTGAAATAAAGAGTATCCGCATGTCCTGGGGTGTAAAGCGAGCCCGTTAAGTCGAAGAGAGAACCACGAGCGTAATCGCTGTGGTAAATTGTCGGGGCTGCATCATTTCTGTAACTTTCCCATGCGAGCGGCAACTCCCTCTTGTATTCCACGCGTATCCCGGGGGACCTCGGGCGACTCCTCCTTTTGCGTTCCGCTTCTTTCTTGCGCCCTCGCTCCTCCCGGCGCGCCGCCATCTTGTATTTTCTCTTCGCCCGGAGGAGTCGTCGGAGGCCTCGCCTGCGGTTCTGGAATAAATTAAACCGTTAAGCTAAATAATCTATAACCGTTAGGGCTATGCCATTAATTCAATAATATAGTTTAATCATTACAGTCGGGCTATTAACTGGATAAAACGAGACCGACTCGAACGCGCGTGTTTTGCCGGAAATGATATATATACGTCCACCTTAATTTAACGTATAATTTTAGAGATTTCTTTCGTCTGTGAAAAACCGATAAGAAATAGGTGTACGCAGGAAGTTAGTTACTTTTGTACGGAAAAAAAGAAAAAAGAAAAAGATAAAGAAGCATATCGCATGAACGCCAATGTATGTCCTCTTTGCCAAAGGATAGTTTAACCGTTATGGTTTCGCTATTAATTCAAATAATTCAAGCGTTAAGGCTAGGCCTTTAATTTGTAAAAAAAAAAACGGTTAACGCAGTGCGGTTAAATCTTTGCGTTAGTATCTCGTTTTAACTCGACTCGGCACTTAAATTAAAGCCAGCTCAAGGGAAAGTCAGCGGAATTATTGGCGCAAAGGGAAAGATGGACGGCGGCCGCTTCGGCGGAAAAGAAAGAGGACGGGGTGGAATTCGGTAATTAATTAGAGGTACTCGAGGGTCCCCGGGTGAGGGGAAGTGGGGGAGCTGCTTCGGAAGTTAACGTCGCGAGGCCGAAGGGGGCAGGCTCGCGGGGGTAGACGGCACCCTCGAGGCTTCACCCCTAATTTTCCAACGGGCGGCCATAAACCAGCGGGAAGTCGTCTGCTTGTAAGCGGAGACACGGCGGTTGCCCCTCGCCCCTCTTCCATTTTCATCCCCCTCGCCCCGTAAGTGCACCTAGTTAGGAGCAAGGGGCAGAGAGGGCCACGTGACGGTGGATTTGTCCCCATGGGTTTTTCATACTTGGATTTTCCAAACTCCCATGATTTTAGAAGATTTTCTCCTCGTCTAGGTGGCCGCCATCTTGGATTAATACGTTCGCGCGATCGAAGGTTAAGACTCGCACCCATAGGTTTTTCATGCACTGATTTTTCACACCCCCTGCGATGTTCATCGTGACTCCACTTCGAGGATTTTCTCCTCGTCTAACAAGGAATGTACCTGAGGTGTCCCCCTCCAATTTTGCTCATTTTTAAATATGTTATAGAGGACTAAAATCTAAGGGACCCGTGTTTTTTTTTTATCGGCGGATAAACACTTTTAGGGGGTGAAATCAGGCTTCAAGGTTGGCCGTGCAAGGGGGTGAGTTAGTTGTTTCATATAGAAGCACTCGACCGATTTTCATGAAACAACCGTTAAAATGTAGGGAATGAAGAATTATGAAACATCATTTGGAATTTTTCGAAAAAATTCATTTTTAAGGGGTGAGCCACCCCTTTGAATACTTCTTTTACCCCTTACGCGAGCAGTAATTGTTCTATCCAAATGAAAGTTTTTTTTGTATTGTTCTTGTCTATAAATTAACCAAGTTTCATTTGGATAGAGTAATTACTGCTCGCGTAAGGGGTAAAAGAAGTATTCAAAGGGGTAGCTCACTCCTTAAAAATGTATTTCTTCGAAAAATTCCAAATGCATGTTGCATAATTCTTCATTTCCTATATTTTGACGGTTGTTTCATGAAAATCGGTCGAGTGCTTCTATATGAAACAGTCAACTCACCCCCTTGTACGGCCAACCTTGAAGCCTGATTTCACCCCCTAAAAGTGTTTTTCCGCCGATAAAAAAAAACACGGGTCCCTTAGATTGTAGTCCTCTATAACATATTTAAAAATGAACAAAATCGGAGGGGGACACCTCAGGTACCTTCCTTGTAAGTAGCCGCCATTTTGGGTTGCTGCGTTCACTCGATAAAAGGTTAAGACTCGCACTCATATGTTTTTCATGTATTGATTTTTCACACCCCAATGATTTTGGAAGATTTTTTCTTCGTCTAGGTAGCCGCCATCTTGGGTTGATGCGTTCGTTTGATCGAAGGTTAAGATTCTTTTCCGGTATTTTGTCCCTGAAAATTCCGTGTCTAGGGTCCCTCGGTGGCCTTGAGCACTCCTCGATAATGCCGGGTTCGGCGCCCCCCTTTCTCAATGGTGTAGACGCGTTTCCGTGATTACTGAATAAACAGCGTAAACGTCTCACCCCGAGTCCGCAGGGGGTCGTAAACCCCCGCGAATCCCCCAACCGATTGCTATTGTTACGGGCCATCGAAAGCTCTCGAGCATTTCCGTGATTACAAAGTAAACACGGCTCGATTACCGCCGGGTCGTCACCCAATTTCGCGGATCTTTTTTTTCTTTTTTTTTTCTCTTTTCCTCTTCCTGCTCTTGGCGTTATAGAATAGAATTGTGAAATAAAAATAAACAAGAAAAAGAATGTGCGCCTTCGACGCGCGCGGCGGTCACGCGACTCATTTCTTTTTTTTTCTAAAGGTCATAGATAATCTACAATAATCATTTGAAAAGTAGCCAACCAGTCTTTAGGATTACCTGACTTTTTTATTTTTATTTTTATTAACCGAACACGTATCTGCTCTGCTTTCTGCGGAGAGAAGTGGCGAGTTATGCTGTGTGCTCTTTTATTGGCTGACTTTCAATTCTGTTTTACCGGCGAATTATATATCGCAGACAAACAAAAAATATGTAGATTTTTCTGATCGCATTTTTAATAAACAGCGATGTGTAAATCGCGGGCCCGAATTCTGTTGCATCCTGGGTACAATGGTAGGGATGTTCGGGTCGAAAAGCTGTTTTTAGGGGAGAAACGGAGCACCCCTGCGTCGCGAACTATCCTCTCTTGATCTGGCCAATAATAAGTCGGTCCCGAGCCGTTTGATTTTTTCCCCTCGGACCGGGAATTATTAAAAAACTTTTTTGCTCCCACTCGAACGGCCATAGCCGAGCTGTCCGACTCCTCCCGACAGGAAATACCCCGGGAAGTTGGTGTCTCTTTGAAAATAATTACTGCCTCGAAAATTCACGCCCGAAGGTCGCATCTTCTCCAAACCGTACACCCTATTCATCGCCTGTCAAAGTCTCGGGGCATCTGATCCAAAAATTGTTCCCGATAAAAGAAAGTGAACTAAGAAAATCAGACAGATCCAAAAAGAAATTGTAATTGAATTGAAAATGTTTTTTAAATTACTTAAAAAATCATGGAAGGAATACGTTGTTAGAAATGACTAGAAAAAAAAAAAAATCATTTGGTAAAATTGGTCCTTTAGTTGCGTAACGAGTAGACTAGCGATTCAGGAAAATTGATAAGAAGAAGAAAGTAAGGATAGCGCGTCACCTCCCGGGAAATTTTCTATTTTCATGTAATCCCTTCTTCCCGAGTATGCCCCTCTCCGCGTTCTCACACCTCGGCTGTGCAATAATTAGACTAATGCGCCCGGCGGTTCTTCTCGGTCGGTAAATCTTCCCCGGTCGCCTCGGAGAACTCCCACGGTAAAGTTCCAGCCCTAATCTACGAGGAGGGCGGCAAGGCGAGCCCCCCGCACCCCGGAACCCCATAAGCGTAATCATTTATTCAGCAAGGAGAACTGGCGCGATTACGTTTCTATTAGGATATGGCGGCGTAATGTCGTCGAGGGGGTCGTAACCTCGTCTCGGAACATACCCAGGGATGATCCTCGGGGAGCGTCACTTGCCGCCGAACATAACCTCCCTTTGTCCCTTGACGCGCCTCCTTTGTCGGCAGTTTCCTCTCCCGTCGAGGATTTGGGATTCCTAGGGGATAGAAAAATCTTCATTCGACCGTATCGGCGATATATTCCCTGTTCCCCGGAAAAAACTACAGCATCCGAAGTCTGGGTGAACATGGAATCAAGTTTGAGGCACGAACAAAATTAACAGGCTTATTGCAATGTTTCTGTGATGCGACATTTGCGTCATGTTGTTTTGTTTGTGGCATTTTTTTTTACAAAAATCAGAGCTGTTTAAAAAGATAAGCAAATTCCGAAATCGTGGACATTTGGATTTTTCGACTCTAATAGGTTCTCTGGCGTTAGGAAAATTCAAGGCCCCCCAGAACCTCAAAAACGTTAAGATGGTCATTTTCGGAATTTATTATTATTTTTTTAACAGCTCTGGTTTCTGTACAGAAAAATGGCATAAACAAAATTCAACATGGCAGAAATGTCTACATCACGGAAACATTCCAATAAGCCTGTCAATTTTTTGTTGTGCCTCAAATTAGATTCCACACTCACACAGCCGCATTAAATCCCCCGAAAAGGGCAAACAAATGTAATAAATAGAAAAATTAAAAAGCGTGTTCATCGTAATGTAGTGAAGTTAGGTTTCCAATGCTGGCTCTAAGGAATACCTGTACTTATGGTATGGTCACAATCGCCTTTCATGGTGCACGTCCAGTGACCAGTTGGTTAGTATACGGATAGTCTCAGAAGATATATGCACCTTCAGTCAGAACCAACGAAAGTGTTTCCGGGGACATTCCGAATGTATGTGTTGCTTTTTAGGCGAATAGTTGCAACTGTTGATTAATGGTTTACAGATCTAGATTTTATATATATTAACACATTCGCGACCGCTGACGTGAATTCACGTCATTTTAAATTCTATTCCTGATTGCCGCTGATGTGAATCACATCCATAACGATACACGATACAAGTTTGCGGCAACCAGTTTCAGAATTTCATTATTTTCGCCGGTGCTCAGTATTTGAAACGGAAAAAATTTTCCGGTTGCGAATGTGTTAAGGGGGTCACACTACTTTGACCCACCCAAAAATTACGGTTTTTTAAGAATTAAAACGTTTTTATCCAAATTAAAGTACAGTAAGGTATTATACTACTATTAAACAACAAAAAATGTTCGTCGTATATTTTTTTAATTACAAAAATGGCGGCTTGAAACGCGATTTACCGGAGCGCTGCGAAAATGGATGATCGTGTGGTGGGCACGATAACTCAGTTCAGGTTTAAGCTAGATCAATCGAGATCAATACAGTTACAGTACAATCGAGATCAATACAGATCAATAACAAAACCAGATCAATACAAAATATAAACGAAAAAGAATTAGTTTCTGTAGCCCAAAAGCTAGCGAAATAAGTAGCTGTTTTCAAAAATATGCATTTTTCACAAAATAGCATCGATTTGAAAGGTAAGATACGTACTTTGCCCTAAATTTCGTTAATTAATGTTGCATGAAAAGCGCAAATATCAATACATTGAAAAAACTATACGTATTTCGCTAGACAAACATATCACGAATAAAATAAAAAAAGACTCAAGACGATTGATTGAAAAATGGCGGAACTAGTGTCCACCGATTTTTAAAATGCAGTTTTAAGAAAAACGCGTTTAAAGTATAAACGCGTAAAAATTTTCAAAAAATCAAAACAAATGTTTACGCGTTTATATTTTAAACGCGTTTTTCTTAAAACTGCATTTTAAAAATCAGTGGGCACTTTAGCTCCGCCAATTTTCAATCAATGGTCTCGATTCTTTTTTTATTTTATTCGTTATATGTTTATCTAGCGAAATACGTATAGTTTTCTCAATGTATTGATATTCGCGTCTATTATGCAACATTAATTAACGAAATTTAGGGCAAAATACGTAT